AAAAAAAAAAAAAACACTAAAATATGTAAAATTTGAGTTGAAATAGAATGGACTAGCCTACTCCCAAATCCTCAGTGCATGAGATGCCTCCAAGGATATTTCAGAAACATCTCAAAGTCACTGCCCTAAGTAACTGAATTACTTAAAAAACTAATAAAAAATTAAGTATTATAAGATTTAAGTAAATCTAAGATTCCTAAATGGTATACAATACTGTGGGTTTTTCATTGTGAGACATTTAACAGCATAATTTCTCTAAGCCTTAGTTTTTCTTATCTGTAAAATGATGACTTTACACTCGAAGATATGAGCGCCTATCAACGGTAAAGGTACATTAATGAGGGCTATGATAAAATTATTGGTGATTTCTGAATTTTGAACAGGCATACTATGAGAGTATAAATATTCCATGTCTGAAGATCTTAATTTCAAGTTTCTGTTATCATCTTTGCTTTATATTTAAAGCCTACTATAAATTATTACTGTCACATATCTTTTTTCCAGATCACTAAGAGCTAGATAGAATTATTTTTTAAGGCACATCAATTTCCTTATCTTTCCTCAGGGAAGATATGTACCAGAAGCAATGTGTTGGGGGAAAAAATAACTTGGCTTAAGATTTTTTGTTTTGCCTAACTCTGAAAGGGGATACTGCCTACAGTAAATTTAGGGAGAAACCAAGTGGGCCAAAACGAGGGAAAGAGAGAGAGACTACAATATGAAAATATTCTAGAGGAACAGAAAAATAATCCAAGCCTTTTTGTTGTTGTTGTTTTAATATACTTTTTTTTTTTTTTTTTTAAAGATGGGGTTTCACCATGCTGGCCAGGCTGGTCTTGAACTCCTGACCTCAGGTGATCCACCCACCTCAGCCTCCCAAAGTGCTAGGATTACAGAAGTGAGCCACCACACCCGGCCTGTTGTTGTTGAAACAGAGTCTCAGCTGTTTTGCCCAGGCTGTAGTACAGTAGCACGATCTCAGCTCATTGCAAACTCTACCTCCTGGGTTCAAGTGATTCTCCTGCCCCAGCCTCCTAAACAACTGGGATCGCAGGCTTCCAGCTAATTATTTTGTATTTTTAGTTGAGATGGAGTTTCACCATGTTGGCCAGGCTGGTCTCAAACTCCTAACCCCTCAACAGATCAGTCTCCCAAAGTTCTGAGATCACATGTGTGAGCCACTGCACCAGGCCCTGATTAATTTATTAACTGAAGAATTAGTTATGCCAGGCCAGGCGAGGTGGCTCACGTCTGTAATCCCAGCAGTTTGGGAGGCCGAGACAGGTGGATCACAAGGTCAGAAGTTCAAGACCAGGCTGGCCAACATGGTGAAACCCTGTCTCTACTAAAACTACAAAAATTACCTGGGCATGGTGGCATGTACCTATAGTCCCAGCTACTCAGGAAGCTGAGACAGGAGAACTGCTTGAACTCAGGAGACGGAGGTTGCATTAAGCAGAGATCGTGCCACTGCACTCCAGCCTGGGCAACAGAGTAAAGGCTCTGTCTCCAAAAAAAAATTAGTTATGCCAAAGTAATGAAAGGTAAAATCTTTTAAGTGCATTTTCATGAAACTCAGTTCCACAAAATTCCAAACTTTCAGTCATGAAGACAATTTTTACAAATTACACTCTCCAGCCGGGCGCAGTGGCTCATGCCTGTAATCCCAGCACTTTGGGAGGCTGAGATGGTCAGGAGTTCGAGACCAACCTGGCCAACATGGTGACGCCCCATCTCTATTACTAATTATAAAAGAAAAACTAAAACAAATTACACTCTCCATCTCTAAATGCTTGATATAATGTTCCAACCTCTTTATAATGAAAAAACAGGCAGGAAATGCATTTCTGGATACTTTTTTTTTTTGGAGACAAAATCTAAAATATATTGTCCAGGCTGAATTTGAAATCCTGAATTCAAGCAATCCACCTCAGCCTCCAAAATTGCTGGGGCTATAAGCATGTGCCACCATGCATGGCTTTTCTGTATTCTTTTTCTAAATAACCTAAAATATTGGTAAATCATATTCTCCTACAAATGACAGATCTTAGGCACAATGTCTGGAAAACTAAAGGGCAATCCTTAGTCATGAAATCTTTAGGGTACACAACAAAGAAAAAGCATTATAAAATCGACAGTTAAGGCCAGGCACAGTGGCTCTTGCCTGTAATTCTAGTGCTTTGGGAGGCTGGGATGGGAGGATTACTTGAATTGTGAACCTTTCGGAATTTAGGCAGAGTTTTGAAGACTAGGTAAAGGACTTTGTGAGACTCCAACAGTGTCATACAGTGATGTCCTTAAGGACTCGAAAAACTTAACAGTTCACCCTATGTACAAACAGCTTATTACAGAGCTATGGCCTCTTAGCAGTCAAACCCTATAGAACAAATGCTTTTTGGGACAGAGTGTAATAGTTCACACCTCTTTATGTTGAAGATGCCTATTTCTTTTCTGCTGTTAAATGAAGAATGAAAAACACTGAATTGTAACTGCTAATTTTTTTTTTTTTTTTGGAGGCAGGGTCTCACTTTGTTGCCGAGGGTGAAGTACAGTGGTGTGTACGGTTCACTTGAAGTCTTGAATTCCTGAGCTCAAGCACTCCTCCTGTCTCAGCCTCCCAGGTGGCTAGGACTTAAGGAAAATGCCACCATGCCAGGCTAATTTTTTTTTTAATTTTTTTTTGTAGAGATGGAGTTTTACTATGTTGACCAGGTTAGTCTCAAACTCCAGGCCTCAAGTAGTTTTATTAATGTTGTTCTCAAAATGTATCTCAAGTGGTAATTTAGCCATTAAATAAAATTTAAAATTAAAAATTTTCAAAAAAAAATAATTTTAACAGTTAAATTTTACACAATATTAAACATGGAAAATCAGAGTATACTACAGACAATCACAGATTTTATAGATTTCAGATACATTATATATAGCATAGTAGAAAATAATTATGAAAATGTTAGAAAGTAGATAAAGGGGTTTATTATGGCGGGGCACAGTGGCTCATGCCTGTAATCCCAGAACTTTGGGAGGCTGAGGCAGGAGGATCACTTGAGGCCAGGAGTTCAAGTCCAGCCTCGGTAATATGGTGAAACCTCGTCTCTACAAAAAATACAAAAATTAGCTGAGCCTTGGTGGTGTGTGCCTGTAATTACAGCTACGCAAAAGGCTGAGGGGAGAAACTCTTAAACCTGGGAGGTGGAGGCTGCAATGGGCAGTGTTCACAGCCTGTCTCAAAACAAACAAACAAACAAACAAAAAAGGCCAGAGGTAAGGAGTTCAAGACCAGCCTGTCCAACATGGTAAAATCCCATCTCTACTAAAAATATGAAAATTAGCCAGGCGTGGTGGTGTGAGCCTGTAATCCCAGCTATTCCAAAGGCTGAGGCAGGAGAAGTGCTTGAAATCAGGAAGCAGAGGTAGCACTGAGCTGAGATCGCACCACTGCACTCCAGCTTGGGCAAGAGCAAGACTCCATCTCAAAAAAAGTTTAGAGTTTATTATGTTTATCTGTCACAGTCCTTCCTAATTCCAGGGCTCAGAAACTGGATTTCTCACCTTGTAGTATTACTTTAAAACAAACTTATGCTCTTTTTTCCTATTAACATAATGAAGTTTCAATTGTCATTCCTACTAGAAAGACAAAGGTGTTTCCTGTTGCATATGCTTTAAGACATACCTCTTTGGGGCACATCCTTAATTTTAACTCTTTCTATCAAAGTCGTTTCCTATGAAAGAAACTACTCATTTAGATATCTTTGACTGAGAAACTCACTGCTTCTGAAAAGGCAAATCAGAAATCTTTCTTCATTTCAGTCATTTCTGGCAAATGAGAACTTGCGGTTCTCATTAGGGGAACCAGCTTGCGGTTTAGCCCCTAATATAGCTCCCCTCCAGCATCAGATGCAACTATGAAGGGAAGCTACTTGTAATCATTTCAACCAAATCCAAAAGTCAGAGAATCAAATTATTTGTCCCATATTCCAACAGGTCCATCATCATGTGGTCTTCCAAAGTAAAACAATGATACTCTAAGATCAACATCTCTGCAGACACAGAACCTAACCTGAGTATAAGTATGAACAGGAGCAACATTTTAAGTGACAATACTCTCAAATTAAGCTGTGTGGATATAAGTATTTACTTATACATTTCCCCACTCATTCCACAATATAACTGTGTACAAATCTTAACAAAACTGTATACTGTACTAGACAAAGTCTAGTTTAACAGTAAAAGAACTACTTTAACAATAAGTTATTTTATTTCTGAACTTAAAGTACAAATGCTATATAACTACTTCTGTATTCCAAACGAAACATGCTTTCAAAAATTTTTTTGCTCTGAAGAATAGAAAAAAGTGTAAAACAAAACACATCAACCACTTCTGTGAGGAAACCCATTACAGAAGATTTGAATAATCACCGTGAACAAACAATAAAGGATGCAAATCCCTCCTCACAAGTCAATTGTTTCGACACAGAATTAAGAGTTTATCAAGTCGCTCATTATTGCAGCATATCAGTAATCAAACAATACATTTAGTAAATACATACAGTTCCAGAAAGGACATCATGAGGACAACAGTTGAGAAGGTGGCTCTTGCATACTCTGTCATCACTGAATTTGATTCGTTGACGAGTAGTATCTCCTGTAATATAGAAGAGTTAATAACACTCAAGGTTAGACAACTGGAAAGTATTTTCTGAGAGCCCTACTATTACTAGCTTTTTATGTGTGGCTACATACACACATTATCAATCAGCTCAAGAGGGATTAGTTTTTACATACATCCTATAGAAAAACTATTTTAGACAACATGCAGTTGCAGTAAGTGTACTGCATACATAATTCAAATAGTCAAAGTGAGAAAGCAATGCATTCTGTTAAATAGAGTACTTCAGAAAAGCACAGGATTTTAGAGCAGGAATGGACTTTAAAGATTATCGAGTCCAACTCCTTCATATTGCAGATGAGAAAACTGAGGCCCCGAGAGGTTAAGCAACTTGTAGACCCACTAACAAAGTTTATATTGGTATACAATGTTCCCTTCTTGACACTAAGCATTGATATATTTTTATTTACAGTAATTGAAAAACATAAAAAATAATCTTGCAAACATTGCATACACACTGCGAATCCCCACTGAACCCCAGACGCCATTTCTTCCACTATTTTGTTCCAGCTGAAGTGTCTCCCTTTTGCTGCTGGGAGGAGTTAGAGAGGGTAGAGTAACGCGTTTAAGAGCGTACAAACCTGGAAGAAGGACTTACACACCAGTCAAACAAAGGCACATTGCCTAAATGAAACGTTAACTTTCATGCGTCCAAAGGTTCCATACCTCCAAGTTTTATGTAGTCTGCGCTTTTTTATATTGCCAAACTGGGTACATTTTTAAATTCATTCTGTCTTCATATAACATGATACACCTACCTCCTAAGCAACAGAAGCATCCAACCTGCTTATCAAATATGGCTATCTGCTCAAAATGTTAAAGAATCTAAGAAAAAGAAAGGTAACTAGCTTCAATAACAAAATATAGATGTTAGTTAAAATTTTTTTGCTTAGAATCTCTTTGGAAAAACAAAAGAAAAATTCATAAGGATGTTTCCTCTTTCTATATAGAATGATAAGCCCTAAGAAATGTAGGTGTTTTATTTTAGCCTAAAATTGATACATCACCGATGAATGAAAACCTACTGGTGAATTACTGAAGCGAGAACTACTGGTGCCAAAAAAAAGATATAAATACCTCTGTACTTCACATGATATGCCTGGAGCACTCCAAAAACTTTCGTGTAGGATGTGATTCAATCATTTAATTTCTGTATTTTCACATGTGAATAACAAAAAAGGTTAAAACTTTACCCCTTTATATGGTCACATACTGAAGAGCTTAACTTAAATTCAACTAAATAGTATCGTTTTTAGATGGGGTAAGATTTTGTTCAAATTGTTTTAACTTGGTTAAAAATATTTTTAACATTCTAATTTGCAACCAGGGTATATAAAATTTTAACAACAGTAATTTATAGCTAAAATGATAGCTTCAGAGCAGTTCAACAATAGGTTTTCTAGAAGCTCATCTCTAGTAGGTTATTTTTGACACAATTTGGATATTCAGTTTAGGGTTTACGCCTGCTACTCTAATAAAAGTTATTTTGGTGGTCCTTTTTCCTTTTAAACACAACTGCTTTTGTTCCACATTCATTAACACATCTGAAAAGTTAGTGATAACTCACGGCTTGGCGAATGCGGGGCCTTTCTGACACTCCCTTGCAGATTGAGGTAGGCAGGCATAGATACATTGAACCTTTACAAATAAAACAAGGGGCCAGATTGTTCATTTTGTATAGAATAAACTCTGCCAGCAATTTCAATACAGCATCTAGAAGTACATTTTGACTGTAAAGATTCTTTTATATAAAAACAAAAGTGAACAAAATCAGGGTGTTTCATTTTTTAAAATACTGACTTAACAAGTATAACCCCAGATAACTGTATGACTGACTACAGGTAAAAGTCCAAAACTGGAGCTCTGGACAATGTCTTTGAGCCAAGTGGGGTTTTCAGAAATTAATATTTTTTATCAAGACTTTGGTGAGGGCCTCACGCTCATGTTAGAAGGGTACTATGATAAGCTCATACCAGAATGTCAATGCTATTAGAGGCTTTTTGCTTCCTACCATCTAAGAAAAAAATTTCATTTCAAATCTGTACCCTAATTATGTTAAGGAATTTTAAAATGACAAAATTTTAAAGTTGAAACAAAACAAAACAAAAAAACCCTTATGTATCTAGTAGTCTTCCTGCTAAAAGTATTGAAATGTTTTGGTAATGCAACAGTGGAATCATTTCAGTCCTTTGTTAAACTAATGGCTCAGGCCTTCGAATAAAATCAGGGTGAAGTTTTACTAATCAAACATTTCATCAAGTAGAGAACTGATTTTTGCTTAATAACTTACATTTAAATATTAATTGTGCCCTGAAGACACAGCTATCAGTTAAAATATGAACAATTACAAATAGATATACAGCAAACCAGCAAGTATCCCTCGTGAGCTTCTTGTGTTTTTTTAACTTTTTATGGATACGTAATAGTTGTACGCATTTTCCCTGGTAAGCTTTTTAAAACAGCATCTGTTTCTATAAATTCCAAAAAGCATTTTAAAATAACTCCTCCCTACAAATGAATGGGTGCTCCATAAATATTTGATAACTGGGCCGGGCATGGTGGCTCACGCCTGTAATCCAAGCACTTTGGAGGCCAAGGCGGGCGGATCACCTGAGGTCGGGAGTTCAAGACCAGCCTGACCAACATGATGAAACCCCGTCTTTTAAAAATAAATAAATATATATATATATATATAAATAAATATTTGATAACTGTAGCAAACACAACAAATACAGCTATCAAATAGCAGCCATTATCTTTAAAACAATGAAATAATAAAACACTTAATAATTTGAGATACAGAAATATCCTGAGAACAGCAAGTATCTGTTTATTGGTATTTTTTAAGTTCTGCTTAAGGGAGTTTAAGGTTGATATTTGAAAACAATCTGGCTGCATAACCATGCAGTATTTAACAAATTTATTTGGGCTTATTCCATGGAAGTACAATTTGGCTAAACCAACAATGAATTTTAAAAGAAAACTGCTGGTAACTTTGGTTTTTGTCAAGATATCTGGCCCAAACCATGTTTTTCATAAGAACTAGGGAAAATAGTGCCTATTTTATAAAAAGTAGCCTATTTTATGAACCAAATCTGCTTATAATACAAGAAATTATTTTCAATCTAATGTATTTTATCTTTGGGTTTTGTGGGCATAAAGTCATATAAAAAAACCTAAATTATGAAAAAAAAAAAAAGTATCTTGTCACACTAACAATGGATACAAATCACAGAATCAAACCTATTAGTGACCACATCTGCTGTGCTAGGCAATGGAATTACGAAGAGGCATATAAGACAAGTTCTCTCCTCTCAAGGAGCCAATGATTTTGCTAAAGAAATAGGACATATTAATTTTTTTTTAATTTTTTTGTGAAACAGGGTCTCGCTATGTTACCCAGGCTGATCTCCAACTCCTGCCCTCAAATGATCTTCCCACCTCAGCCTCCCAACATACTGAAATTACAGGCAGGAGCCACTGCATCTGGCCAAGGGTATATTAATGGAGTAATAAGTTATAAGTTAAGATAACATGATCCAAGTGTCAAATGTGTGTTTCAATTAGGTAGTACTTCAGGAATGCATAGACTAAAACTACCACCAAGACTGGAGATACTGGGAAAAGCTTCATGAAATAAATAGGCAAAATTTGAAGGAAAGATAGGACTTAGACCAAAGGAAAGTAGAAAAAAGAGCACTACAAACTGGAGTGATATCTTTGATAAAGCTTATAGAAGCAAAAAGGATTGGGAGACCAGTAAGTAAACCATATTTGGCTTTGGCAAATAAGCTGCTGAGTTCACATAATAATGTGGGAACTGTATAAAGATCTATGGCTAATTTCTAGTCTAGTCCATGGCTTCATGTAGAAGAATTGCAAAGTTGGGATCAGAATAACACTTTTTTTTTTTTTTGAGATGGAGTTTCGCTCTTGTTACCCAGGCTGGAGTGCAATGGCACGATCTCGGCTCACCACAACCTCCGCCTCCTGGGTTCAGGCAATTCT